ATTTGCAAGAAATGTATATATATAAGTTTAACCCATTGAGTCGCTGTGTGCCCTAATGAGGCCTAAAGTGCCGTACTTTATTATTTTCAACTCAAAATGCGTTTTAACCTTTTAAATTTCATGTGCAAGCTATTTTAATGCTGCTAAAAAAGACCCCCGCCCCTGCTTTGGAAAATTTATCTTTATGAAAATTTCTTGTTTATTCTACATTATAAGTACCCAAACAATCTATGTTTATCAAATATTTAATGACATTTGTGAAAGGATTTGTGAAATTGAGAGGCGTTTCAAATTGTTTACTTTTCTGATTCACCTGTTGCGAATGGAGCGTTCACTTGGCTTAAAATTGCCTTTGCAAAGTGCTTGTCTGATACTGCCATGTCAGTTTTTAAAAATATGATCATACAGCAGCAGTTACTGAAGAAGCAATACATAATGCGCATAATTACGAATTCACGTCGATGATGTTTACCTTAGCGACGGTAATTGGCTTACAATTCATTCAATCATACTATCCTACCCAAACTGTTGATATATTTAATATCACTTTTCGTGGCACCAAAAGCAAATGATGGCCATGCTTCACCGTCCATAGACCGAAATTTGACGAGGAAATACGCTGCTGAGATTGCAGGAAATGGTGTTTCCGGGCTTCAAATTTCAAAAATTTTCCGGGGGGGGCATGCTCTCGGAACCCCCTAGTTATGTGTGGTTTAGGAGCCACGGTCAGTTTTGGGTCTGGATCCGCCCCTGAATATGCTATGTGTTACATGAAGTGTAAGGCAGGTGAGCTACGAGCCTGCAGTATAGTTTTGAAAACACAATATTTACTTTGAAAATAAGGCAATCTGTCTGAACTTTATGCAAAAGTTTTACTCTCTCAATTAGCCATTCCGAAGTTGATGAGTGGACTGGGGATGAGTGTTAAAAAGTGCCCAAATTGAGAAATTAACCAAATCACTAAAAAGACCACCTCAAAATTAGTAAGTATACAAAGTTTGAAGACGTTTACATGAATATCCTTCGAATAATAAGCTTTCGAAAATCCGATATTTACTATGAAATGTATTGCAATTTTTGGTTTTTGGGATGCACGTCCCAAAAACAATCTTTTAATAAGTAATTTCATAATTTTCGAAAGCTTATTATTCGAATGGTATTGATATAAACGTCTTCAAACTTTGTATACTTACTAATTTTGAGGTGGTCTTTTTAGTGATTTGGGACTTTTTAACACTCGTCCCCAGTCCACTCATCAACTTTGGAATGGCTATTGGAAAATTTCTTCTACGAAAGTGTTACTTGGTGGCTTACTGAAAGACAGGGAGATGTTATGCTTTGAAGGTAGAAAGAAATATGTGCATTTGAATATATAAAAATATAAATAAGTATTTTGTATTATATAAGTATTGTGTAGTATGCTAAATCATATGTTACTACTATACTTTACTTTACCAAGACTTCAACGATGTGCTTTGGAAAGCCACAGAAGATGAATCATTTAATTTTGTGAAGATGATGGGAGTTCGAGTTTTGGTCATGTGTCGTGCATTGTGGGTAAAAAGTTGTGTGTCGAAAAATGCTCTAAATTTCACATTTTTTTTTCGCTATGACACTGCTTTTGCTAAAATAAAATAATTTCTGTTTTAGCAAAACGCCTGTAAGCGATCAAATGTCCAACAGAATATTTAATCGAAACATTTCATATTATGTGTTCGAACTTCGAACTAAAGTCAAGAACACAGCAGGATATGGCCAGGCGGCAAGTCCGCTAAAGGAATGTTGTGATGCAATCAACGTAAAACACCTAGTAATCCAACAAGAAACATGCATAAACACCTAGTAATCAGACACAAAGTTCATATTCTGTTCAACAAGAGGTATATGTCTTGCATGTATATCAGTGTGTAATAGCGCATTTGTTTTGTCGAAAATCATGATTTTCGAAGCTTACCGTTTGCACTAATAATGTACTAAAACCCAAGTAATACTTAGAACGCTTTTGCCATTCACGCTTCATTATTTACTCGCTGGGCTAACTGTCATTTGATATGCTCATATGCGCTTGCAATTTGTGATAATATTCGATTCATAGCCCACTCGCCCCGCCCTATTATAAATAGCCGAAAAAGCAATTGGCCCCATCTGCACAAACTAAAAATCGTATATGTTTTGTTACATTTAGTACCCTTATTACCAATTTACCATGATAGTTTCACTATATGTATGTTCTTAATGCTTACAGTATTACCCTCATTACCTTGTTGCCTTAGTGGTTTGGCTGTGTCTTGCATGTTTTTAATGCTTATTACTCTTATTACCATGATAGTTTGGCTCTGTGCATGTTCGTATTAATGCTTATTACCCTTATTACCATGATAGTTTGGCTATGTGCATGTTCTTATTAATGCTTATTACCCTTATTACCTTATTACCATGATAGTTTGGCTATGTGCATGTTCTTATTAATGCTTATTACCCTTATTACCTTATTACCATTATAGTTTCACTATGTACATGTTCCAATTAATGCGTATTACCCTTATTACCATGATAGTTTGGCTATGTGCATGTTCTTACTAATGCTTATTACCTTATTACCATGATAATTTGGCTATGTGCATGTTCTTATTAATGCTTCAAACACTCATTAATAATTCATAAGCTTATTGGCAAATCATGTCAACCATAATATGTCACGTGCAGTGGCTTTAAACCTGATAAAACACTCCTAATTAGTATTCTTTATATAAAGAATACTAATAAGGCAGTATCTATTGTAGTCGTGTCCTCATTAGTATTCTTTATATAAAGAATACTAATAGGCATTATATCTATTGAATTTGTAGTCGTGTTTGAAGCCGTTTAATAAACTCGCAGGTTGTGTTTTATTATGTCTAAAGCCACTCGCGCTGCGCACTCGTGTCTTTAAACATAATAAAACACTCCTGCTCGTTTATTAAACAGCACTTATTACCCTTATTACAGTACCATGATAGTTTGGCTATGTACATGTTCTTATTAATGCTTATTACCCTTATTACCATGATAGTTTGACTATGTGTATGTTCTTATTATGCAGTTAAAAATTTGTAGCTGACATTAAAATTTTCATGTCCATATTGCTTCGAAATTCTCAAAAAAAATCAACAAATCTTTAGTTGCTCTGAATCAAGAATTATTACCGGTAATAAGAAAAAATAAAGCAAAGTAAAGGTCTTATAACTGGCATGGTATATACCAATAAGTAGCAATTCCAAAAACAAAAAAGATACGATTTGTAAGAATATGTTCTATATTCATGGAAAATTTGGTAGAAACAGAATGAAAATTTCAGAAGTTGAAGCATATTGGATTATTGGTGCTCTTTTGCATGCATTTGTGTGGGGTGGCATAACTTCTATATTTAACATTCCACCCTTTTTAGGAAACAGAAAATAAATAGTCCCTCCCCATACAAATTAATTCTTAAAATCATGAATCATATCATATTTCAGTGGTATTTGAATAAAATATAGTACAACAATACAGTAACTCTGAATATGCACATTTTGGATAGGTAAACAGACTTGTTGTATATATTTAGAATAAGCCCCTCCCCCTCCCAATGATGCTTCAAAAAATATGAGAAATTTAGTAAGTTTATGTAATTTGTCAATTTTTCGAATTTATTACGTAAATTTCGAATGATTAGACTTAAAGCTGAAAATGAGTTTTCCTTTACTATATTATTTGTTTTAATTAGATCAATAAAATCATTAGTTAAATAGTATTTAGATTCATTATTCTTATTGTCATTGCTGTAATACATATCTGGGTTCGTAATAAGTTCTTTGCATGTTTGCATGGCAATAAAACATTTTATAGTTTTGTTTGTGGAAACACAGTAATAACTTTACGTGGTGTTTCCACAAACAAAACTATTATATCTGGATTCAATTTGTCAGTAAATTCATTATGCAAGGTAGTTCTCGAGTTGTTCATATTAAAAGGATTAAATGCTAAATTTTCTAGTCTGTCTTTATCCTTTTCTGTTAAATTGGTTGCTAGATTATTAACAAAAACCATTACCAGCAGACAATTTAATAAAATACAAGAAAAAACATACTCCGAAGAATAACATCTTGTAAACTCAAGATATGAGCTATAACACAAGACAACAATTTTGTGGTGATATTTCGACTCTATTTCAAAGTCATTGTCAAACCAGAATAAGCTATTTACAAACTTGCTATCATATTATATACAAAGAAACAGGAAGAGATGACATATTAGAAACATTACACTATTGACATACAATGATACAGTACAGCCCTAATGAAAGTTAACATTGTGTAACGAGTGAGTTGCGAGTTCGAGCAAGAAGCTATCGAGCACGATTTGACCCCTATCGAGAAATCTGCAAGTTGCGAGAACGCGAGCGCGAAGCGATCAAGTGTTCTCGAAATTTTTTAATATTGAGCAAGTGTTCTCGAAAATTATCGAGCAAGTGTTCTCGAAGACTTTAATTAGATATCGAGCGAGGGTTCTCGAAAATTGTTTGTATCGTGCGAAATCGGGAGAGAGTTTGACCAACATGTGGCGAAATATAGGATAATTGCTGTTTCCTTGCATGACAAACGTCACATATTTTGACATATATTTACCAATTCGCTAAAAATATAACTATGATAGGGCGATAGCAGTTATATTATTCGATTACTCACCTTTACACAAGATAAACAAAATTCCCTGGTTAAATCAAACGTCTGTTTATTCGAAACTTGTCGTTTTCAGCATCAAATACATGTATGAACGCGACATGCATGTATATGCGTATAGTGGAGCCGGAACGGGATACAATAGCCTGTCTGCTTCAAGCAAAATTTACATGCGCATGCTATACAGACTATGTAATTTGCATACATGCTTCTACATGTAGTACCGACTGTCGCAAGACAAAGACAAAAATTCTCCCCGCCGGTGTCTCACTATAGTATACCTGTACATCAAAGCCAGACATGCCACAACTTTCAAGCTGCGCAAAAGAGAGAATTAACTCTTTGCTTCAACAAAAGAAATACAAAATAATTCAAATAGTTGAGATTTTAAAGAAAGAAGACATTGTGACCACACGACAGACGGTTGCAAAATATATACGGCGATACGATGAACCAGAAACGGCTAATATGCAAAATAAAAAACCAATTGGCCGACGACCAAAATTAGATCCTGAACATCTCGACTTTATCGATGGCGAGATGGAGAAAAATGACGAGCTCTGTGCAATTGGTAAGAAAACCAACCCTTTTATCATTTTTTATTTGTGAAAGAAGCCATATATGTATACCATACGTACAAATATTATAAATTATGTAATCTGGCGTAAATTTTTATAGTAAAATTTCAATTCTGTATTTAGATCTTCGAAAACTTATCATTGAACGATTTGGATTGAATGTGTCGATCTCAGTGCTGAAGCGAGCGAGAAAGAATTTGGGATGGATTAAGTCTGGAGTTCGATACTGCCAACTGATCACTGAGAAAAATCGTGTCAAGAGGTTGGCGTTTGCAAGAGAATGCCTAGCACACTTTACGCTGTGCCAATTTAGTTTATGCTATGCCAATTATACATTGATTGCTCAACCATTCCGAATTTGTCTTTGCCGTTGCAGTTTTGTATGTTCCAATCTACGAATGAATTGCTGGACCATTTCAGTGTGAATGATCCCGTTCCTGTTTTGTCTTTACCGATTAAAAATACGCTTGACCGTTTTACATTTGCTGTATTTTTGGTGGTGATGGCTGCCCATAAATATGTTTAAGTCATTTGCCTGCCTAGTAAAGTGATTATGAACTTGCGAATGGATTACTAGCTTGGAACTAAGGTAGACAGGTGCAAGACCATGAACTATTTTATACATCATAATAGCATTACGGTACAATAGAGAGTCGTTCACTGACAACCATCCCAGCTTATCTAAAGCCGGGGTGATGTGATCATACTTTCTAGTTCCGGTTACGATTCGTGCTGCAAAGTTCTGTACTTGTTGTAGTTTCTTAACGTTCTTTTGGGTGGTGCCAGACCAACCTGTGGAGCAATAATAAAGTTTGCTAAATACTAGGCAGTTTATCATGACCAACAAGGCATTCTTGTTGAACAAGTGTCGAACTCTGTTGATTTGACACAGACTTGATGTTAGCGTCGACGTCAATGAATTGACATGATCGTCAGATGTCAGAGTGGCATCTAAAGTGAGACCAAGGTCTTTACAAACTCTGACAGGTGTTAATATTTTTCCTAGAAAAGGAATTGATAAGTTAGGCAGGTTCTTTATCGCTTTCTCCATTCCAAATATCATAAACTCTGTCTTCAAGGGATTTATTAGAAGCTTATTAGAACAACACCATTCTGCTATATTTCTGAGATCTTGGGAAAGGCTTAACAGGCCAAGGTTGGCTTCTGATAAGGAAAATGATATATACGTCTTGTGTCGTCAACATATGATTCTACGTCACAATTCGAAACAACTTTGGGTAAATCGGTTCATGTATATTGTAAACAGCAGTGGACCCAAGATGGAGCCTTGTGGGACTCCATGTTTCACCAATAAAGGAGTTGATGTAGATTGACCAATGCGTGTGACTTGATATCTATCGGATAGATAACTCTGAAACCAATCAACGCTAGAGGAAGAAGCGCCTACATTTTGGAGCTTTTGGAGTAGTCTTTCATGGCAAATGCTATCAAAGGCTTTACTCAGGTCTATTAAAACCATTGCTGTAATCTTTTTTTCGTCCATTGCTCTAAAAATGTGGTCAGTGATAAGTAGGCTAATGGTTTCAGTGGAGTGTAACTTTCTATTTCCACTTTGATGGTTGGTTAATCTCTGCTTTTGAACTAAGTATTCTGTAAACTGGATCAGAGCCAAGCGTTCAGCGATTTTGGAAAGTACTGGTAGTAGAGAAATAGGCCTGTTATTATCAGCCTCTTCATGGTCGCCTTCCTTGAGGTGGGGTATCACTACCGCTTTTTTCCATTCACATGGAAATGTGTTACTCTCGAAGGATAGATTTATCAGCGTGGTGACAGTATCCGAAATTTCGGGGAGACAGTTCTTAATTACTTTAACTGGGACTTTATCATATCCCGGTGCTTTGTTGTTGGGCATTGACAGGATAACTTTATTTACCTCCTCATATGTAACTGGTCTGAAATAAAATAACTCATCTTCAGGATATGGCACGGGGAGAACTGATTCTGATACTTGTAGCCCATGTTCTACAGCAAGCTTTCTTGAAGATGTAGCAGCTTGTTGCCCGACGGATGTAAAAAATACATTAAATTGATTAGATAAGGATACTGTATCTTTGGTATAGGTCAACTGCTGGCTAGATGATTTTGGTATTGCACGACGGATTGTTTTCCAAATTGCACCGCGGCAATTTTTATTAGAAAGAATTTCTTTATTGAAATAATCTGTTTCCGCTTGTCTGATGGCACATTTGATCCTCCGTTTTAATGATTTAAAAGCATTCCAATCCTCTAATGTCCCAGTAGCTCTTGCTATTTGATGAAGTTGGGATTTGTTTTGTATTAACGACCTTAACTCCCTATTGATGAATGGGTTTGGGTTATATTTAAGTTTAATGACTTTCTCGGGGGCGTGTTTATCTAAGCATGTCAGGAACAAAGCGTTAAAGGCGGCTAGTCGGTCGTCAACAGAATCTTGTAGATTTATTACGTCCCACGGTATCATCGAAATGTCGCGCGAGAAGTCTGTAGGGTTAAAAGATTTAAAACTACGAGTCACAATGGTTTGTATAGCTGGTTTTGTCACTTTTAAATTCAAAACCGCATAGATTAAGAAATGGTCGCTAATTGTGGTTTCATAAACTCCGCTTGACTTAACGCGGTCCTTTGCCAATAAATGGGGATTTTAATACCCTCGGGTTGCCAAACTTGCCATTTAGATAGGATCTTCTCACAAATCTTTGTGTCGTATCGCAATGACTTAACCAAGTGCACGTCCGAAATCGTAATTCCCGTTACAATGCCAAGCAATTGTAGTGACCGCCATTGCCACTCGTACGCGGCCGAGACGTCGTCGAGGCATATCCTCGAATACTGAGGAAACTTGTTATTGTAGGCATCTATTTTGTCGCTTCTAAAAGAGTTTGACTTAGCCTGAGCTTGATTTTCCTTGCATTTAGAGCCAGATTGAAAGTACAGTGACCAAAAAAGCACCGATAACACCGCTACAAATCTGACGAACCCCATTGAGCAACCATAATGTAACCATCAAAGGTAACTGTAAATAGCAGTTACTTTCATCCTGCTCATCAGCACTACACTGATGAGGCCCATAAGGCCGAAACGGTACCGTCTGTAGTTAGATGTCGCTCTATGGCCTTTAGGTCATATTGAGCGCTCTACAGGATGAGCCATTGCCGCTTACGCATTGCGCACGCTCACTGCTTGCAGTTTGAGCGCTCTGGCATGGTTTTTGATGTCCCACAATCGTGAGGCATCAAAGGTAACTGTAAATAGCAGTTACTTTCATCCTGCTCATCAGCACTACACTGATGAGGCCCATAAGGCCGAAACGGTACCGTCTGTAGTTAGATATCGCTCTATGGCCTTTGGGTCATATTGAGCGCTCTACAGGATGAGCCATGCCGCTTACGCATTGCGCACGCTCACTGCTTGCAGTTTGAGCGCTCTGGCATGGTTTTGATGTCCCACATTCGTGAGGCATCAAAGGTAACTGTAAATAGCAGTTACTTTCATCCTGCTCATCAACAGTACACTGATGAGGCCCATAAGGCCGAAACGGTACTGTCTGTAGTTAGATATCGCCCTATGGCCCTTAGGTAATATTGAGCGCTCTACAGGATGAGCCATGCCGCTTACGCATTGCGCACGATCACTGCTTACAGTTTGAGCGCTCTGGCATGGTTTTTGATGTCCCACAATCGTGAGGCATCAAAGGTAACTGTAAATAGCAGTTACTTTCATCCTGCTCATCAGCACTACACTGATGAGGCCCATAAGGCCGAAACGGTACCATCTGTAGTTATATGTATGTATGTATGTATGTGTGTGTGTGTGTGTGTGTGTGTGTGTGTGTATGTATGTATGTAATTTAATTTAATTTAATTTGTTAACTTAAAATACAGTCACAACTCTGATTTTCACGCTCAATGCGATCTTCAGGCGACAATGTTTAAATCTCGATTAAAAATTCCTGTATGGATACGTGTGAGTTCGTTAGGCTACTTGCGTGATTGTATTGGGTGCACACATTCAAACTTTCCCGCCAAGAATTGCTTCCGGTGGCAACACTTTGAGAATAGCTCACATCTCCTGTTCAACAATCTTTTCTTGTCACCTTTTAAAATTTCCAGTTTCTCTTGGAGGCATAGGTTGCAACTTTTTGCACCACTGCGATAAGGTGATGCTTGCTTCAGAATGGACCACTTGATGTTGAATGTACGTTTCTTGTTTTTCAAGTTCCAAATGTGTTTGGACAGCTCAGTGGATTTAACATAGCTGCTATCTTTGAATGAGGTCTTGTGGTTGTAAAAACGTTTCTTAAACGTGTTTGATGTCATCCCAATATAATCTCGAACTACTCCTGTGTCGTCCGTAACCTAGGCTTTATAGACAACGCTCTTTGTAAGGCAATTATTGTTTAAGGGACATTCAGTGCTTTCTATGCAGTTACAGTTTTCTTTGGTAGATGCTACTACATCACTTTTATTCTTTAAAAGATTACCGAAGTTATGTTTGGAGATGGCGCTTTTACAGTTATCCATGCAACTATAGCTTACTTTGACCGAGTTTCTGTTAAAGATCTTGTGTAGCGGATTAGATGCAGGGAAATGTTTGTCGATCAGGTTTAGAAAGTTTCTAGCAACATTTGTTCTTACATTCTTGCTAAAAGGTGGGTTAAACCAAATTATATTTCTTGTTCTCGTTCTATTTTTTTATTATTTGGGGAGTAGCGTAAATTTGTTGGGTAATGACGCTGGTGGATTATAAAACAATACAATGCTAATAAGGGACTAGACCGATATCATATAGCCTCACGAATACTCATACAGAGTATCTGTGAGTCAAAAATTGAGCATTTTCCCAGCATTCAATTCCTATAGGAATTCCTATAGGAATTTTCAATGCCTAATAGGAATTCCTATAGGAAATTTCAATTCCTATAGAAATTCCTATAAGAAGGGTATTCCAATGTACTGATCCAAAACATTTTACTATATAATAACTACAGTGAAACACACAATTTGATTGATCAATAGCTGTGCAGGATCAGGGTATCCTGCACAAGGAAATAAAATGCCTTCGCAGGATTCACGAAATGTCATTCTTTCACTGTAGTTATTTTATAAAACAATTACCAAATGGTTTTCCAAGCAGGATAGCGTGATCCATGCACTTGGTATGTTGCTCGACTTTCTGAAAGCATAAAAATACACTTGCCTGCAGTTCAAGTATTTTTACACTTTCTAAAAGTCTCACGACATCCTTCATGAGCCATGTGTTACTGTTATATTGTAACTTGTGCTCATTTAAATGTTACATGAGAATATTCAATGATGACCATCAAATATTCCATCAAATGTAAATTATGTTGTACTATTAGCTATACATCCTGCATGTAACTTTTTCTAAATGACATTTTGCAATTTATGTTTATGAAATAATTGCCTAAAAGTGATAATAATTGTCAAGTAAAATAAATGTATCAAATTATCTATTTAGCATTCTACATATTTTCACAAACACTATAACAAAATCAATACTCATGCTAAATCCGAAAGGTCTTTAATCAGCAGCTCGTGGTTAAGAAAACTTACACACAACATTAAAATTGGATTTTATTAACTGAAAGTGTAGCACAACCATACAAACATGTATCAAAAAGTGAATATCAATGAATGTAAATCTAAAAATGCTTATAATTGCAAGCCAGAATTTCGCCATAATAATTACGGCTAATGTTCTATGTATAATGTGACAGAATTATTTTATTGATTATTTCATTGTTTTGTATGACTTTTTTTTGTTTGTTGAAATGTTATTTTGTTTGCTGAAATGTCTATAACTTCCATGTACATATTTTCATAATTAACGTATTGTTTAATAAGACATGACAATTAGGCCTAGAAACCCCAAAACAATTGAAATAACGTATTGTTAGAATTTGAATACATATATACATATATATTATATTAATTATAGGGCATTAAATTATAACAATATGTTATTTCAATAGTTTTGGTTTTTTTCAATACATGCTGTATTGTGTCAATATTATGCGAAAACCATATATGTACTATTCACAACATGAGCGGCTCATGTGTACTATTTAGAACTCGAGCCGAAGGCGAGAGTTTGTATATCCGATACAACACGGATGCGAATGTTGTAAATAGCTTAAAAAACGACTCATCTTATGAGTTCATTGGTGAAGTAATTTTAAAAATAAATGTTGTCTAAGCTGAGAAATCAAAGTTAAAGTTTATGTAAATCAACATGAATCTGTATCACATATACAGATACGACACACGTGAATGATTAATGAGTTTTTTAAGTACTATTTACAACATTCGCATCCGTGTTGTATTGGATATACAAACTTGAGCCAAAATGGCTTAAAAAACAACTCATCTTATGCGTTCATTGGCGAAGTAATTTTAAAAATAAACGTTGTCTAAGCTGAGAAAATCAAAGTTAAAGTTTATGTAAATCAACATGAATCTGTATCACATATACAGATACGACACGCTTATGATTTTTCTTTGTGTTTTCTTCGTGAATGATTAATGAGTTTTTTAAGTACTATTTACAACATTCGCATCCGTGTTGTGTTGGATATACAAACTTGAGCCGAAATGGCTTAAAAAACAACTCATCTTATGCGTTCATTGGCAAAGTAATTTTAAAAATAAACGTTGTCTAAGCTGAGAAAATCAAAGTTAAAGTTTATGTAAATCAACATGAATCTGTATCACATATACAGATACGACACGCTTATGATTGTTCTTCAGCCTCCTACCCAGGTGCAAATAACTAAAAATAGGCACACTACAATGTTTTTGTATAGATCAGTGGCTCAAGTGCGCGGGGGTGCTGTGGGGAGGACGCAGGAAACGAAGCGCCAGGCAGAATATGTAACAAACATGGTGGACATGAAGTCGATGAGGATGCAAATGAGGAAATTGCTGTACTATTTGCCCATCGAGCATTACATTTGGGAAAGATTTTATGCCCAAATGATCACTGCGTTGTAATAAGGATTTTCCTCGAAAACGGTATTATTTAACATTTTAGCTGGTGATTTTCCTTTCGACTTTCCTCAGGACCTCTCGAAATTTCAAATAATTTTATAGAAAGTCTGCTGGAGTGTTGGTCATGAGAGAACTCGAGTTCATTGAACATGTAAGAAAATGATTTATTTATAATGGTTGAAGATATATGTCTGGTGTTGGATGCACATCATGAATATACTGCCTTTTTGCAGTTCGAAAGAAATGTATTCAAGCAAAGTCAAAGAAACTGGCCAAGTTATTCTTGATATTTAATACATTGAATTTATATGGAATGTTGAAATTTATGGGGCGCCGAACTAGTCAATATTGCAATTGAATATATTTGGTACGTTCGATTTTATGTTTGGCCAACATCTCTTTTCTTTTTGCCATTTTCTGTTTTTCTCTGGGGGTTTTTATTTTTTATATGGCC